TTCAAACTGAATACATTAACATCGCCTAATTCTGAAAATTATCTACACACAGCATGTGTATGTGCACAATAAGGCCATACGATGCAATGTGGCACAAACAATTAAAAGTTCTCTTCAAAGTGGAAATGCAAAATAGAACGAATATCTATTTTCTATAAATGAATCTAGCCATCTGCCTCACAAGAGCAGCAGCAGGAGTACCCAAAACAGCAGAAACAGCAGCCTCTGGTGTTAACAATCTATTCTCAAATCTCATGCTCCACATTTCCCCAGCAAACAAGGCTAAAAATACAAGACATGCAACAAATAGTCTCTTGGGATCTGCCATTCCATGGATGGTGTATTCAATCAGAGTAATATTTTCTGTTGAAATTCAAAATTGAAAAAAAGCAAGCTATCATATTAGAAACTGGCGTTCAGAATGTTAAGCATGAATCCAATCCCAAAGTATATTAAGCTGAATGGTGAGAGGGTGGTTGTTTTCATACAACACAAATCTCTGCGATTTATCTGAATATATTTATAGATTTATTTAAGCTACTCTAAATTCCTCTACAACTCTCACAGTTATAGAGATATAATTTTAGCACTTTTGTTACCAAAATATAAGGGTCATTTTATTTTCAGCAGAGTTTAGAAAATGAGCCTTGCTGTAGGCTCTGTGGTTGGTTCAAATCCAGGCTCCTCCATAGACTAACTTTGTGGCCTTGAGCAAGTTATTTAACCTCTCTGTGCCCTTCATTTCCTACCTTCAAAGTGAAAACGATAATAATACTTATCTCACAGAGTTATTTTAAGGATTGAATAATATGTATAAAGCTTTTAGAATAATCGATGGCACACACTACATATAATTACTGTTATTATTTCATATTCAAACAAGCTGCAAAAATGCTTTTTCTTAAAAAATAGGCATGATATAAAATAAGGTAGCGACGCGATGGTAGTTCTCATGCCAACATTGGCCATTTAGCAAATGAAGAGATGAGCAGATAAGTATTTTTAACTAGAGCATAAAGCTGAGGATTACAAAGTTTCCACTGGTTATTCCATAACACTGTTAGTTCATGGAGGCATTAGTACAAGGGGGACAGAAGACAGTAACATAGCTGGTCAAGTGGCACTGCCTGAGGTATGGGATAATCGGAATTACTGGCAACAGTGTAATCAAGAAGCAGGGCACATCTGGGCTCTCTGTGAACGCATGTGCCTATTCATTAAAGGGATATCCTGTATCACTACCACCTATCTTACAAGGATGTTATGGAATATATCTTTGTACACCTGTCTTTGGGATTATGTTTTAATACATGGATCTGGGTCTCTAACCTTTAATGTTAAAAAGGGAGGAAGAAAAGGCATAAGGGAGAGGTATCAAATATTCACTATCTCCTGAACACCCAATTTCTTCATAAACCTTGAACGATGGCATCTTTTTAAATGGTGCACTATATTTGGTAGAAGGAGAATCAGAAACAAATTTACAAGTCACCAAGGAGATAGACAGAAAACTGCTTCCTTAACTAGTAAGAAAGCAAGGTCCAGAACTACCTGACCGATTCAGTCATAAGGTTCTAAGAGAACTCACGGAGCCTTCGTGGGGCTCCCTAGGTTTTCCCACTCTATGGGGCACCACTTAAAGAACCACAGACCCACAGATGGGTCATTCAAATAGTGAAGAAGAACGTAAGGGGGGGGCATTAAAAAGGGTGACAAGTGCTGCTATTATACTGCCAGGTCATAACGGTTCATCTCTTCTTCAGAACTGAGATACATGAAGAGATTTCTTGAACAGAATACTTTGTCAAGTTGGAAAAGAAGGTGCCACTGGTCTGCTCAAGGTGAGAGCACAACCCAAGTCAGAAAAAGACAAATCCAGCAGGAAATTGAGAGAAACGGCTCTTTTCTCATAGCCGTATGGAGAGACAGTTTTTTGAGGAAAGGGAACAGAATGAGGAAGGTGGGTGGAAGTGGGCTATAACATTCATCAAGAAGAAAATGACTATAGATTTAAATTGTATAAACTAGGTAGATAAACTGATGTAAGTATATGTAAAGCACATGACCCTATTATGCCTATAAAATAAATGTGTACTTACCTTGCCCTTAATACATTGCTACGGTTAGTGAAAGGAAGATTTCATTGTCCAGGAAAATTTTTAAAGCAAGTAATTGTGTGAAATCTTGGCCTGTCTATTATCTTACTCTCTGCCTTTAGACTAGAATATTTTATGTACAGTATCTAATACACGAATCACAACCAGATCAACAGCAGTACTCCTTTTTTCAAAGAACAAAAGCAAATCAGCATGACAACATGATGTGGATTCAATTAGCACTTGGCAGGTCACGAATAACTTTTAAACAACCTTCTTTTAAGTTGGAAAGTGTTAAAATATACGGTAATCATGGCACCGAAGTGCCTTCTTTATAGTATGCCACCAGTCAGGAACATAAATCTGAAGAGGTAAGTCTTGCTTACAAAGCAGGAAACCAGAACACTGCTCCTTGGGCCACTACTAGTCTCTGCACACTTCCTTACCCCAAGCATCTTCCTCTTTGATTATATTCAAACCCAATCATCAGAAATCCCCTTCCAATTTTCAGAGGGTTTTAGATTAAGTATGGGAAAGAGAAGAAGGATGGGAAAGAGAAGAAAATGAATAAATAAACAAGGAGTTGGTGCAATCATCTTGAAAACAAATAAATGATAAATAATTGTAGAGAAAATGCTACTGAATTGTTAAATATTCTTATATCATCAAAGCAAATGACATAATTCATATATCTTGCTGATTAGAGAAGGCAGAATATCTTGGTTCAAATCAACATGAAAAGCCTTGCAGAACAAAAACTATTTACTTGCATAAATAAGAAAGACCTAGGGCCTACCATAAAGAGCCTGATGAGACTGCTAGGCAAGCATGCCACAAGAGCACACCTGATCTTGCTTTTAATAAATGGCCACCTCCCTGGGCTGGGAGAACTTAGGTAACATTGAAACACACCTTTTGTTCTGAAAACTCCAATTGTGCCCACCTGTCCAAAGCCAGGTGCGTCTGGCTTCACAGGTTTCACAGCCTGCTGACTGTGGAATCTCTGACAGATGCTAAGGGTAATGGGCTTCATGCCCCAGAAAGTAAAATATTACAAGGGAAATATTAGATTTAGTGCTCTACTCCATGTGTCTCAAACATTACTATGATCTGTACAACACATTTGTTGTAAATAAGCCTGCAGAGTGTACAGTATGTTTTCCAGGAGACCTTTAAAGAACAGCTTGCAGACAAGAGGTGCTAGCCTTAGTTTCACAGCCAGCAAAACTCCAAGCAAGAGGCTTTTGGCATGTCCCCACCTCTTGTTTGGGGCTGGCTTCAAGACAACTCCACCAACCAAAGTCCAACCAAAGTCTAGGCATGGAGCCAGTCACTGTTAGGTATTCCATATCAAACAACAAGGAGAATTCAGACATTTAGATCAATATTTAGAAAAGAAATGGCCTGCTTTCCCCCCATAACAGTATATTAAAATCAACTCTGAGCTGATTTTGCAAGGAGGCATTCTCTGTAGTAAATTAAATGGCTGAAGCTTGTGCTTCTTCCAGCAAGGAAAAGAACTATGCTTCACCATTAACCAGTGTGTACAATCACTGAGGCTCATGTTTAAACCTTTCCTGCTTTTTAAAAAGCCTGCTCCATTTAAAAAAAAAAAAAAAAAAAACTTTTCAGGAAATAAAATGCAAATCATCATTGAACAGAATCATCAAACAAAAAGCCTCTATCCACCTTTTTTTTTTTTTAAACTACTCATTCCAGGCAGCACGACTGCTTTTAGCACACCATTAGCTTTTATAAAAATGAGATTATATTAGCTTTTTTGTGATCGTCCCGAATCCTTTCCACCCTCTTCTGTCTCCTGGCTACTCATATGTTTACGATAGCCAGTAGAGCAGAGGTTAGGTGGTCAAATCAGTTCCACCTCTCGACAGACAAGCGTTAGGTAAATCATTTAATGTAATTATATATTCTAAGCCTAACAGATGGCAAATGGGGAAAGAGAAAGATAAACAAGGGCGGGAAGGAGTAGCTTCCGAATTATCTCAAAGGTAAAACCACAATACTTCAAGCTATGTGTGAAATTGCCTCTGATCATCTTCAAAACAAGTCCGCGGGATTTATCTTTAAGTTCATGCTCCCTGTCCTCACTCAAGGTGGAGCTGAAACCAGTTGCAGTATTTCACTCTGCTGGAGTCCAGAGGATTCAGGAAAATGGGGTCTATGTTTTCAAGTGGAAAAGACAGAGCTTTCCCTGTTGCCCCGCGCTCTCCAGCTCCCTAGCCGGAGTAGGCAC